TATTTTCAAGCGAATTTCGCTGTTTTAACAGGACTATGAATATTATCGTCATTTTCTTCGGACTCGCTGTAGTTCGCTTCTCCCACTTTTCCGCCGCGCCACGGCTCGCCGAAAAATCAAGCGACCCAATGATTTTTAACATTTCTTATGCACTTGACATACGTCCACAAATAAAATATTTTTATCTGGAAAAGTACTCGGGTTGCCGGTTATAAAAGTATTTTTTTGCCGCTACCAACCTAATTTGTTTAACAATAGGCCGTCAACTTTGTCAAAAGTCATAAACAAACTTTTTTTGTTTATAACTTTTGATCTAATCAATATTTTTTTACGCTCGAGGGCTAGTTTTGTAGGTCTTTTGAAGACGAAGAAAAAGTACTTTACTGTTTTCTCGTGGAAATGAACGGAAAAAAGTTATAAGCGAGAAAGGTGAATTTACGTAAAAATTATACAATTAACCAGTCTCTAAACAATCTTCCCCCCATTTTTATGACTGTGGAAACTAATATGTTATTGTACATAATATTTAGCATCTATAGTGATAAATTCAGCTTGCAGAAACAAAAAGTCGCGCCCAACTCTATATTTCCTGGCCTACAGAGTGAGATTTTTCATATTGCAAAAAATATTTTGTACGATTTGACTTGGATTTGCAATTGTTTTACAATGTTTTTATGACAGAAAAATAATAGGAATGGAAAAATAGATCAGCTATTTGATTTTAAATAGTGCTAGTTGAAGATTTTTTTCAATAGAAACAATTTATTTATATTTTTCGAATATTATGTCTACCAATATTTTCGTATTTACCCAAATTATTGCCCACATAGTGGACGTACCGGAAAAAATGCGAACCTACTGCGAAAACGTACAGAGGAATAATTAAGCCGTTATTTTATCAAAGACTTCGAAAAATAAAGGTTAATATTTGATCAACAATGTTATCCGCGTACTTTCAAATAAAAAAGCAAATCTATTTTCTCTGGAACGTATCGTCTGTTGTGTTTTGTAGTAAAAAATAATTAAATTAAAGCATTATGTAAACAAACTTTTCTATCTGCTACCGTGAAATACAGACGTTCTACAGTGCGTTAAATCTAAGTTCTTCCCATTATTTGTTTGTACCTAATTCGTAAAATAAATTGTTTACATTTGAATATGTCACCTTAATTTTTTCGAAAAATACTGCCTTTTTTATCGCTGTTTCTGTGTCTCTGAAAGTGACAAAAAAAAATTTGGACTAATAACGAACACGCACATGAGCAAAAAAAAATGAACAGTTTTGCTTCAGAGCATTAATATAATCCTTGAGTGTATTGGTTAACATTTTCGAGTTATACAAATTCTTATCGGTTGTTATTGCAAAATAAGCGGAAAACAAATGAAACTACACCGCCAGACGAGTTGTTTTTCACTCGGTTACCATGTTAGTGGGAATGTGAAATGAAATTATTCGTTCGAATTAATGAAATAATAATGTAATTCATGTTTAGCCGTCGTGTTATACACTTGAAAAAAAAATTAATGAATGCGAAAGACGTCAGCGACGATAATTAACAAATAACAATATTTTCAAGAAACATATTCTACACTAATGCGCACGATACGTATTGGCGTTACTACACACAGGATGTTTACAAACTTGCAGAAGATTCTTTAATGGATTTAATTAATAATAAGCATTTTTAATAATCGAAACAGTTGACCTATTGAGAACCTGTGGATTCGTCCCCTATACAGGGTGTTTCTAAAATAGGGTTCCAAGTTATATGCCCCAAAAAGGGCTCAAACAAAACTGGTATGTATTAATTTCTTGAAAAAAAAAAAAAAAAATCGGAAACATCTCAATTTTTGAGACATTTAAAAATATATATTAGTTTTTAAATTTAGATTTTATGGTTTCACAGTTTATTTGAAAAGCAGCATGAAAAAATAAAACACTCTTAATTACGCTCCTCAACCAGAATATAAAATCAGTTTTTTAAAACGACGTTTCGTTTTCCTGCAACCAACATCAGTTTCATTTTTTGAAAACAACACTGTACATCTATTCCTTTAATTTTCCTTAAAATAATTCTAAAAACGTTAAGACCCGTCTCATCCACGCATAACTAATGTCAAATCTGTCTGGGTCATCACCCCGATCTCACCCCCACCTCGCCGAAACCGACAAATCTCCGTAGAGGGTCTGCAGACATCTTCCAGGCTACATCCACCCCCTATAACTCTCGAGGAACATGTGTTACTAGTTAAAAACTTATAAGGTCGTTCATTATGCCACCCATTAAAAGGGGTGACCTCTATATCACACATTTTCTTAGGGAATCGGGGTAAAAAAAGATCTCGACGCTGAAAATCGACACGGAATTTATATGGGGAGGACTAGACGATAACTTTAATTATTAACAGGGTCCTGGCTCGCATTTTTTATATTTTTACAAGTCGCAGTCGTATTTTTTTAAATATGTCTGTGGTTTCATTAATATGATGGAGTTAAATTTAAAGAAACGCCCGTTTATGTAGCAAATTCCACAAAACTTCTTTGGAACAAAAATTGAACAGTTTGTTTAGATTAATATTCTCTAATTACACTGAACAAAATTATTGGAATATTGAAAAACAACTGTTATTAATTTTTAAAAGTAGCCGCACTTATCTTATAGTCCAGTCGATATGCTCATAAACCTTGAAAACTTAAAAAAAATATCAGTAGACATTTTATTGCAGTTTATGACGGGGAAGCGTATGTAGAATTTTTTTATTTTTTTTACTGTACGTGAAAATCTAGACGACCTATCTTAAAATTAGTTATGTTATGTTGTAAGCAATTAAATTACCTACAATTTAAGGCGCCTAAAGTCATATTTCAACAATTTGTTAACTGTAAAATAAAGGTCGAACACGGGAAAATCGATTTTCGAAAATTGAGCATTATTATTGCAAAAAGCTGATAAAAGATGTTGATAAAACTTGTGGAAAAGACGGTCAATCCAATGACCAATGTATCTGCCAAAGACCGATTCGATTGAACATGAAATTGTTGCTCCAGGTACTTATTAATTAATTTCGTTTGTTTCTTTGCAACCAATTGTTTAATTACTAAACTACATCTAACAAAGGACACAGGCTGCTCGGGAATTCGCTCTTTTTGCATTAAATAGAGCTTATTTTTACGGCAATTAAAATAAAAGACACTATTAGACCAAGTGGATATTAAGAGAGATGCAGGGTGTTGTTTCTCTTTTCAAAAATTTCTGACTGCTGAGATATCTAATTCAAATTTAATATTTTAATATTTATTTTGATATTGCCAAATTTATATATAATTTTGAACTGCATTATAGGAACCGCGATATATGACGTTCTTGCTATAAAAATATTATTTAAAAAGATAATAATTTAGACTTCTTTACTGAAAATTGTTACACCTTGTGGAAATCCTTATTTTGAACCATTTTCGTGTTTGCATTAAAAAAAATCAATACACAAAGTATTTTTTATTTTATGCAATTTTTTTCAAAAGTAAGCTGTGAAAAGTACAAAGTTAATTAATTTGGACAAGTATTTCAAGGTTTAAAACAAAATTAATGAAATAAAATCAGGCAGTTTATGTCAAGTTATCGCAGTATTACAATTAATTTTTTGTTAATAAGCTCACAACAACTTTTTTCTATTGTCAAAATGTTCGAAACTACATAAACACGCATTTGGAATCGTTGTATAGATAGAAGTGATGTGTCGACCGCTGCGTTGCCCCGATCTGATTCCCCTTGAATGGCGCCCTCTAGAATACTGCTAAATATTTAAGTGTAACACCACCGAAGACCCCTTGATATCTTTAAAATCGATATCTGAACAACTCTAAATTATTAGAAACGTTCGAAAAAGAAATGTTTACTTTAATTTTTACTTTATCTCTACTGAAATCAACTTTTAGACTGAGGTAACTTTGTCTAAATCGTAATATTAAAATGTTTAGAACCCACTATTGTTCTGTGACTCACTACTTATTAAACGCCTTGTATATTTTATTTTTTCAGTGTTTTATTTATTGTATGACTCCATCATACTTTGACATTAATAATTATCATGGAAAAGTAAGTACTCATCCATTAGTTATTAAAAATGTCAGTGAAGCAACTCAGTTCCAACATCTTTAATGTCTGAAATAAGAGCGTTTTGTTGTTCTTTTTTCGTCAGTCGATTCATTATTTCATTTATGGCTTTACAGGGTAGTTAGTCTATAGATAGATCAAGGACACTGGCAAGCATCCTTTTTATAGCCAATATAATGATATTTTTGTATTTTATAGATCTCAAAGTGTCGGATAAAGTGAGGTTGCTACCATAGGTGTCGCACTTGAAAGTCCTTTTGGGTACTAAAAAAAAATCGTCTTATGCCGCACAAGTGAGGATTCTTTAAGTCAGTCGAATCGCAAAATTGTTCATCGGGACATTTTAACTCTAAAAATCATTTTGAATAAAAAATACGAAACATTTTCACTGTTAAAACGTGTAGAAAATCAATTCTATGAGTGCTATCATTTAAATATCTGCTATTTTATTTGGAAAAATCAGCCTGTATTTGAATAAATAGAAAATAGCTATAAAATTACTTATTTCACAAAAAATATGCGAGTCTACGCTTATGGATCGTAAATTTCATGTAGAGGTTTGAATTACAAAAATACAATTTCAAAAGACGCCCCAACAAACCGTTCATAAAATTCATAGACTACTTTTTTGGCACTGTTTCTACTGCTAAATTCATTTACTCCAGGGATCTTAATTAAAAACTGATAATAACGTTAACAGGTTGTAGCAGACATTTTTTTTACGTTTAATTTATTTTAAACGAATCCCTCTCGCAAATAATTGTCAAAGTTAAGATTTAAAAAGGCGCCGTTGAAATATACAGATGAATGTTTACCTGCGGCGCCATAATTTTAATTAGTTTCGATAAGATCGCAATCAATCTTTATTCAAAGCACTCCACTTACCTTTTTCGATTTTCGGCGTCAGTGGCGCCAGCTGTGGCCTACCGTTCGAACCGTGACCCTGCAGGTTCTGCTCGCTCGGAGTGGATAGCTTCTCGGCCAGGATGGGGTTCGCGGCCGCGATATTGTACTTCCTCATCTCCGACAGCATCACCTGCGCGCTTTTGTGTACCAGATTCGAGCTGCTCACGGAGTCCTCGCTGTTGCCGTTCGGCACGTTGTTGTTTTCTTCTTGCTGGAGTAGAAAATTACAGAATTAGGAACCGACAAAGAGAAATGTGGGTAAATATGTTTACTGCATGGGGACGGTGTCTCCATCTGTACGTCAGTTACAAAAACTTCAAGCAAGCACACCGAGCGCCACCTATTGTTGAGGGAGACAAGCAGGTTTATAACTAGTTCGAAGTGATGCTACTAGCATGTAGATGGCGCGTATGATGAAATGTGAATATGTCCATATGTTCATTTAACATTCTAGTTAAATTATGTTCTTTCAAGGGATTTTTGTTAAAATGTCTAGTGATATAGTCATTTTATTTAATAAAATTAATAGAACATTTATTTATTTCCTCAATTTTTCCTGTAATATCAGTTTAGAAGCCATATCAAGCACCTGACGAATCGAATTTTTTTTTTCGAAAAAACCTCACCTTGATGTACGTCGTCTGACTGAACTCGCTGAGGATGTTCTCGATTTCGATGGCGGTGGTGTCGGAGAGGTGCTTGAAGATGTCGTCAGTGTCGGGCATGTGGCCTTCCGGCATTGGCGGCACTAAGGAACTGAGATCTGACTGAGACAATTCACCCAAAGCGCCCCCAGTGGTTCCGGTGGCGGCGTTCTGTTGGCCGATGGCCACGGAGGCATCCTAATGAAAAAAAAAATAGTGAATAATGAACGGTGTTTTGGGTTATGATCTAGTTTCAGGTCAATAAGGGCCGTTTGATTCCTGTAAGGCTTTAGGATTTTTAATTAGTATTTCTGTAAATACAAAAATAGTTTTGAGGTTATGTAACTCCATTAATATTAAGTTTTCGAGTGTTATGGGAAATTATTTATGTTTATGAGTAGATTTCTGGGTAGAATTTAAGAGCTATAATTATTTCGTAGTTTCAGTGTCGCTAAATCGAAATAAATTCTTGAAATAGTGCTCTAATAAACCGTATATCGGAACTTTGAGAGATTTTACCGTTAGTTACAAACAAAATTAGCCCAAGTTTCATCACTTTAAGTCAAACATCTTCATAAATACATTTTTACAAAATTCACACTCTATGCCCCGAAATCGAGGTATTTTCGAATTTACCTCCACAGATCTCTTTCTCCTGAATACTTAAGCAACCTGTCAACATATTAAAGAGAAAATATTTGCATTTTTGTCCGAAATTACTTTTGCACATGCCAAGACCGACTGGCCTCTGTATGCATAATTTTCATAAAATATACATGTTACACTGTGTCCACCTAGTGGGCGTAAGTCCAATATCTAGGTTAATAAAAGATATAACTTAATTTTCTTTCTACAGAGTTACCTACTTTCCCGAGCTGCACAAAATAAATATATACAGGGTGTTCAGTTTTTCCTGGGCAGGTACCAACTTAATTTTTTTAAATGGAAACCTATTTTTTATGGCATTATCGAATTCTACGTGAAAAATTAACGGGACTTTGTGTTATGATCCCTATTAAAATATTGATTGATAGCTTTCGAGATAATCGCCTTTTCATTTTTTTTTTTTCATGTTTCGTCACTTCTAGTAGTTGACATAATTATGATTATATGATAGCTAGAAATTTTTTTTCTGGAACTATAGCGTTACTCTTTCAAAAAACGTATCAAAAGTTGACCTGCGATATACAGGGGGCAAAAAACATAGTGCCAAACCTGATAATTTAAAATTTGAAAAATCTCGACTTTTTCAAATAGAACACCCTGCGTTTTATGATTTCATTAGATGCCTTTCTGTAGACCCTACAATTTTTTAATAGCTTTCCCTATACCTAAGTTGCGTAGTTTTTGCAAAAAAAACCATTTTTATGTAAAATACCGGATTTGCGCCCGTTCCTTTGGCTGTAATGTGATTATTTTATTGTTATTATACTTTTCCTATTACCTATTTATCTTTCAGGTTAGTAGAGAACACCTAAATCACGTATATCCAAACCAGTGGTTAGGTCGTGGTGGTCCAGTTCCTTGGCCCACACGTTCGCCTGACTTAAATAGTCTGGACTTTTTCTTGTGGGGTTATATCAAGGAGCGAGTATACGAAGTACCACCAACGGATATTCAAGACTTAAAAAAGATTCAAAACGAGTTTCTAACTATAACGCTTCAAATGTTAAGAAATGTCCACATTCATTTTTATCGTAGATTAATGCTTTGTCTAGAAAACAACGGTGGACAGTTTGAACATTTATTTTAAGTTAGCTTACGACTATGAGTATTCTTTTTTCAAAATTCCATTCATCCAAATTTTTTAATCTCCAATTTCACTAATAACTTTCCTAACTACGGTAACAGTGCTTGATTTTCAATATGATACGGATGAAACTTCTTTTTCAATATTTTATTTGTCAAGCTTTTGAAAACTCCAAGGTTACTACTAATTTCCTGGCACTTATATTTGGATTTTCAACAGCAGACGCCAGAACTATAAACTAAATATTATCGCTGTTACTTTCATGTCTCCTGGTTGTTCTCTCATAATTCGCATTTGCTGTTCATTCAAACCGTTCCTTCACATTTTCAAAACAGTGGGAATCTCTATAAATTTGGATTATTTCCTTTGTAAATACGTGCTGCTAGCAAACATTTCCCATATTTTGCTAATTCTTAATCACTTGTAGCGATTTTATGGTTTTTTGATTTTATTTACAAATAAATGGTAACTTTCCATAAAGACTTATTTATTAAACTCAAATGTCTAATTTTTCAGTTATTAATTTTTATTTTAAATAGGGTAGCTAGACAACTAATAAATTTAATAAAAATAAATACCCTTACAATATTTTTCCCGACAAAGGAACGGGCGCAAATCCGGTATTTTGAGATTAGGTTTTAAAATTCTATATAAATAATTTTATTTTGTCGCTCTGTATCCCGAAAACAAGAGGAGATAGATATATAGTTCATAAGACAAAAAATTCTTATTTCTTGTCGTACTATCAGCCCCTGAATTTACGGGAGGTCTTTCTGAAACACCCTGTATATACGGTGTACTCACTTGAAGGCAAGACGAAAGGTCGACCATTTTACCATCGTGATCGGAACTCCATAGTAGGTCGTTGTCGATAAATGGCATCGCCAACGACATGGGCGACTGGGCCCCCAGGACGTGCGTCCCCGCCACTGTGTGGCCGAGGGACCAGCGGGATCCTCAGTGTGCTCTCTGGGCTGCCCGGAAATGAGTCCCTGCTACGCCGCTGCTGGCTAGCCTATTCTCGGGTCGTAGTACAGCTTTAGAAGGGACCTGTTGCGCCAAAAAATCACAGTGAGAGAAAAAATTTAACTGAATCGTTTATTTGGAAGGGAGCATTAAGTTTTTGGCAATTTCGAGAAGGTACATTTCGAAAAATCGACGTGCTCGAGCAAATCATGAAACTTGAATGAATTTATTCCCCTAACTATTTTTTTCAGCTTTGTACTTTAGAAATGAGTCGGTAAAGGTTAAGGAATGAATAAAAATCTAAAAACAAAAGGGGGGAATAAAAAAAATGTAAAATATGGTAATTTTTAAAATATGTAAAATTTGTTTTCGCCACAGGGTATATTATATCTTACCTTGATACGTCGCGATGTATGTCGAACCTTTTCCAACACATGTACGCCAATTTTTTTTAAATCTGTAACAACGAACAATTATAAATATTATACATTTACATTATTACATATATGTATAATAAATTAATAAATTACAGTAAATTCGTTTTTCTTTTTAGATTTCCCTGAAAATATGGCACATTCCATATGCTGTTGCCAAGGCCTAAGATACCCTCTTCTATCTGATCTTAGATGTTCTAAAATGGCTTACAATTAGCATAAATTAATTAACATAAACTTTCTACGAATGCCCGTTTCTTTGTTTATCATTAGTACGATAATAAATTACACAGTGGACTTCCTAACACGCAACAATTAAAATTAATATATGATTAATAATGCATTGCGCTATGTAAATGATACACGTAAAAATAAACAGAACTACACTTCCTTATCATGTCTTTGCATTGATCGAAACGTAGATACCTAGGACGTTGTCGATTTGTTAATAAAAAAAGACGTATTTCAATCCTTTTTTGAATACTCTGTGGAGTTACTTTTTAGCCAGTGCGTTGTACTTTCACAGAAACCGTTTAATTTTTTTTAGATCAGGTTTAATTAGTGGTTACAACCATAAAGATATTTCCGCATTTTCCTTGGAGAAAATAAGGAAAAATACCGCCGGATTGTTGCTTTAATGGGGTTCTACAATACTAGTTGTCACACGGTCCATGTTCAGCCATATACAGGGTGTGATAAACTCAACAGTCGGTTCAAGAAATTGGAAAGAGTAACAGGCCTAAAAAATTCATGCAGAGGGAAAGTTTTTCTTTAATATACGTTAAATACAGTTCAGAAGAAGAAATTTTACAACTTCTAACGTAAATTCTAGTTATGTTTGGCGGGCTAATTATGGGACCCTGTATAACTCTTTAATAACAATCATTTAATATGTTAGTACCAACTACAACTACTACAACTATAGAACTATTAATTTATGCGTAAATTTTGTTAAATTTCGTGTTGATCTAAAAATTTACAATGGGAGAACCACTCGTAATACCATTTAAAATGATGTTGAAGACAAAGGCCCCAAGTGAGAGCCTCAGGGCATACCTGACACGGCTGCGCTTTTATTGGAAATGAAATTGGCAAATTTAACCATCTGATGTCTCTATCTAGTCCAAAATATGACCAGAAACACCAATAGTCATTATATTTTAACAAAATTTTCATTAAAAAACCTCTCGACTGGTTTTTAGCATATTCCCATACCGTATTAATTTTACAATTAGACGTTAAACTTTCATCTGAGACTAATATGAAATTAGCTAATTCTGCCTACGTAATTAATTATAATTACAGTAATTGTTCTAATTAATTTACGTGGATCGAGCATCGGGGCGTAAAAAACGCTCAGGCAGATTGCAGCCGGCCGACAGGAAGAAACAGAACGCATCACATAATGCGAATTCTTCACAAAAAGAGAGAAAAAAAAAACGCGCCGAGCGCCAGAGTTTAACGACTCCTGTAAATGAATGTGTTTTCAATTTTCTCGGCGATTTAACTTTCACCAATGCAGGGAGAAATGAACTCTCGATTATTAAATGAAATAGTGAAAGTGACGTAACTAACGGCGTGTTTATATGTTATGATTAGAATTAGCATCGGACTCTTCCTAACTTTTGTTCGGCACGTTATTAATTGGCGTAATAAAGCTCGGTAATTATCGGCCATTATTCCGCGGTGTCGTAATGGGACGATTAAAAAATAATTGGCCGGTGGGGACGTCAAACTTTCACACCTACTGGGTTTCATGAACTTGATTGATGCGAAAAACAATACAAAAGTGACCGATAACAAACACATTGAAGTTTTTAATCTGGAATGGCTTGATTCGTTTGATATCTCTTTCGCGAAAGAAAGTTTTTAATCTAGACAGCTTTTGAAGCTTACCGTGCTGGTAATTTTTAATTAATTGGACATTGAAAAACAACTAAATCTAAAGTAATATATCTTACAGTAAGAACAAATACAAAATATAATAGATTTTAGAAAGTTATATTTAAAAAAGTTGCAAAGGAAATTAGAAATCGTAATTTTTCAAATAAAAAGAATTGTTTCTTTGAGAAAAGGGTACGATATATTTACAACCTGATAGTAGACACTTTGAAAACTAACGATGTTTTCTGTTTTTTTTTAATTCGAAATATAGGAGGTAAGTAGATATTATTTCGCTTTTTTATGCGCTATCAAGCAGGTAGATGTTACAACCAACCAGTCGGCAACAATACCCTTTCTATGATTCCTAATAAGATGCACAGTTTTTGAAACTAGAACATTCTGAAACATATACAGGCCATTCATTCCGAAGAACATCGGCAACGTTACTGGCTAATACAGGAGTTGATGTATCAGCGATCAAGAGATATGGTGGGTGGAAATCTGCCGCAATTGCAGAAAGTTATGTTGCTGACAGTTTAAGTAACAAAAATGAAATAGCCAACAGGATTCTTTACAATGACACTTCAACTTCAGGTTTCCCTCCCGTTGTCCATACCAACTTCCACTTCTACGGTAAAATCCACTTACCTCCTTAAAAACAATGTATTAATAGTCTATTTATTATAGTGGGAGCAGATAAACAATATTAAACTTTCTTTACATATCTCTCACGTAAAATATACTGATAAAATAAGTGCATTTAGTTACTTTTCTTGTTTATCATGTTTCATTAAATCTTTAATTAAAAATAAAATGGAAGATGATAACAACTCTCCCCAAGCTTTAGAATTCGGACCTTTCATCACATTATATGTATTATTGGCAATTCGTCTTTTTACGTTGTTAAGTTGGCATTGCCAATAGTGGCGGTCTAAATTTGCAATGCACTGGATTTAACCACAACGAAACGCTAACACAAATATCTCACTTGAAATATAAAAAAATAATAAATACAAACATGAGAATCGACCTTACGAAATTTACGAAACATTTCGCAACACTTAAAACGAATGTAAAACTTGCTCGTCATAAGTCTAATGACTAACAGAATATAGAAAGTGTGCTGTAATACTTTATAATAATTTCTTCACTTTCACGTCATTAATGAATAATGCACATTTTCTCGCATCGTGAAACTCATTATGCACTTAAAATGCATGTAAAAAGCTTCGACTTATTTCTATTACGCAACAGTTGCATTCCATTCTGTAACGTTAACTCATTTCTCGGGGAAAGTTCATTAAAATTGTTATGCATCTGTTAAAGTTGCATCAGTGATTTTTACCACAATCATACATTGCACGTGAAAAAAGCGTTCTTCTGATCAATTATTTAAATTACAGTATCCTGTATCCCGGAGAGCAATGAGTACAGCACGGCCCTGCCCGATGTGGTTACTTGAACATGTGGTTAAAATCCCGAATCTAGCCCGGATCTGAATCAAATCAAGACGGTGGCAAGCTCGGTAAACAAACAAACAAACAGCTGTTTCAGTATGGCCGACCAGGAACACGAAAATGCAAGTGAGAGCAGTAAAAGTGATAAAAGTGAGGATTACGACCCCCGTTTGGACTTTTTTAGTGACAGATTCGATCCCTTGTTGGCTTTGGCTAAACGAAACCTAAAAGCTCCCGATATTTCTGCCAAGAAATATGATAATTTAGCATTTTATGAGTCGGCCGCGAATAAAGAGAAAAATCCACAACAGGGGCAACAGAGCAGTAAGAAAAAACAAGCGATGGATGTAGAAGTGAGGAGGAAATGGTTGCCACATCAGAGTGAGTTGTTGAATTATTTGTTGTAGTAAATTGGTCAAGTTTTGCATTTTATAAAGTGAGGTTATGTGTGCACGTGTTAGATGTTTTTGCACAGGACCGGCATTGAATAAAGTACGTTTAAATACTATAAAATACACTGTTTACTATAAAAAATTACAGGTTAACAAATCAGTAGGTTTTTAATAGAACTTAGGCTTGTTTTGTTGACAAATTGACTTTTGTATATTCACAAACCTGGCAAAACAGTTTAATATTTTTTTCGTGTAGTAAACTTATTGGTCCTGTAATTGTTTCGCTAATTTGCAATATCAGATAGAATGCTTTAAATTATTATGAATGTAAATTAATTTCATGCCTTACAGTTCTATTTCTTTTGAATTATTTTGTATTGTGTATTGTTTTTGAGTTTGTTTCAACACATTTTAATTTCTGGAGATTAAAGATTTAACTAATGATGTTCTGAGAGAAACAACTACTCTGCGGATTATAGATTTACTTGATTAATTTTACAATTTATTACAACCAAGGAAATATCTGAAATAAACGCTCATTTATCATATTTTCGGATTTGTGTTGTGTTAAATTCCATTTACCCAGTTGCCAGTTTTTTTTCCAAACACACTTCTCGATTTATCGCAGCTTGTCAGAAGAAACAATACAACAACGTTCGCTTCAGGCTACCATTCTGTCGGGACGATACGAATAAAAATTCCTGTCGCACTTTCTATTTTTGTTTTTGGTCATTCAGAGAGCGCAGTAAAAGTGAACATCTGTTCGGCCCGTTTGAGTTCTCGTCGTAGGATTATTCCTCGTTATGTCAACAGCCTCAGACGTAACCGGAATGCAATATTTAATTATAAATAAATCAAACTGGAGCACATGCAGAGGTCTTGTGTGTATAATCTGTTCCGTTTTAAATAGATTCGGTTTTGTTTCTTCCTACGTATCGTCCGTTCACTCTGCGAAATGTAAAAGGCTCAGAAATTGTAGAATAAGATCTTATTTTTAGCAAAAAAATGTCTGTTTCCAAAAATAGAATAACGCAGAACAAAAATAAAATTATTAAGTTGTTGTTTAATCACTATTATCATTAAAATTTTGCTCAAATGAACAATAGAACTTGTACGTGTTTTATTCTTCTTTATTCTTATTCTTTTTAAAAAAAATACAGCGGATACAGCGTTTTGAGCGGGTTTACTTTTGTACTACAAAATTACTCGTCGCTGTTTTTAAAAAATACGCTTATTTATCGGGCTGATGTTCTGTGAATATATTATTACAGGTGCTTTGAAAGTGAAAAACTAAAGTTAGAAGTTACAGAAATGAGAATCGTTCGAAAAGCCTTAATTGGTGTCTGTGAGGCCTTACAATAGAGTAAATAAGGTATAATAATGTCAAGACTACTGTAATTTTTCTTTTTATCAAATTAAATATATATTGATGTTTGCTAAAGAAGTAGGGAATAAATAAACAATGTTTTGGTTATACTGTTATTCCTATAAAAGAATGCAAAACATGAAATTGCAATCTTAGCAGTCTGCATTGTGGGTAGTTGGTGAAGAATTTATTATACATATGGATTAAATAGTAAAGTTAAATTAAAATATAAATGCAACACCACAATTAACTACATTAAATTTTAATTTTAATTTCTTTTTAAATCATGTTTCAAGCGTTTTTTGAATATAAAATCGAAAATATGATATCTACAGAGTGTTTAAAAAATTCAATATCACAGAGCATAAAAGAATTAGATAAATTATTTATAGAACAAGGGCGTGATGATTTTTTTTATTAAAGTTGGCCATATCTTTTTCAAAAACATTTTACATTGCAATGGGCGTAGAGGCGGCGCAAATGCATGAATAATTTCAAAGTCAGAAATTTGAAACATCATTTAAAATAAAAAAAGAACTAATAACTTATCCTCGACTAATAAAGTGACTTGTATTATAGATATTTAAAAATGTCTTGTCATATTGTGAGCTTGCTTTCAGTTGGTTTTCGTTGGTCGGTCTTTGTTGTCCACGGATTATACTTTAAAATAACCAACTGTCAGAATATTGTAATCATTTGAATGCAGTATTAAGTGTACAGTATAAAGGTTACGATTTTCAATTCATTTTTACAGTTTTGTATCTTTGTCTGACAATATCGAGGTTCTCTCTTATTTAAAATACACCAACTTTATTATTATTTTTGAACAACTCTTGTTTTATTAAAAATATTGCAGGAGATAATGGATATATATATATATANGATTTTCTCTCTTTATTACGCCTTTCGAATATGTGATTAAAATTATTGGCATTATGACTGAATCATCCTATATATATATATATATATATATATATATATATTTTTAACGAATCCGTGAATATTGTCAGTGCTGCCGGGCTAAGAATCCTTGATTGAATAGTGCGACAAAAAATGTTTAATTGCGGTGTTTGCGAAAATCAATCAATGCGATTTTTAATTAGGCAACCCGACTGCAACTTGCGATTTTATATTTTTCGTGAATCGGTGAAATACATTTTCAATCAAGTACATATTCTGCAAAAATGCTAAAAAAATTACTCTAGAAATTTTTGATTGTCTAAGGAATATCAGTTATTTTAAGAACAAACTATATGCACACGAAGAAAAATAATTGATGCGTAATAATATATTTTCGCTTCAAGCACATTTCTCTCATGTCTGCCTCGTGATGTTTTTTTCCAACAATAGACATCCAATATAGCACTCTTACATAAACATACATCAATTTATGCCTAAATAAATTGTCATTTTCATGTCAGAAAAAAATGTCTAATGATCACTCAAAGCCTGCAATTAATTCCGTTAGGCATAAACTAATTAACAAGTAATAGATATTTGTAATTAACAAGGCGGAAGCATACTGGTCTTGTCATTTATGTAATTAGTGTACCACCATCCCTAAGTGTATATAGTCCAGGCGATAGAGGATTCGAGGCGTTTGCATTTGAAGTCGTCTATTTTGTTGTACAGAAAAATCCCAAATATGTATTGTGTAGAATAAGAATCCGAGTGGCTATTCCAAAAAATCATTGCTAAATTCAGGGGACGACAAACATATAAAAAGAACGAAAAATGAGCCGTTTTGTGACATATTTTTCCCTGTAACATTGAAAGTAAGCCCTAAATAAAAAAGTCATTATATTTTGTTTATTTGAGGATTTTCTATAAAGAAACAACTACGAATTGAAAAAGTTGAATTTTGCATTAACAATGGGCCAAAAATAGTGGAAAATCGTATGTATATTTGGAGCAATTTTTAAAATAAGTAAATATTTATAAATATTGATGAAACTTTGTGAACAAATAGTAAAACATATGTCAATTCTACCCTAAAAATTTTGCAACGATCGATCGCGTGGTTTTCGATTGACAGGATTGTTAATTAAGGAAATTTCAAAAAGTTTATCGCGTACCGTAACTACAAGTACTTTCAATATCCGTTTAGTGCATTTTCGACAGATAAAAGCTTAATGAAAGAAAAATCATTTTGTATGTTTGTTGTTCCCCTGAATTTAGCAATGGTTTTTTGAAATAGGCAAACTCAGATTCTTATTCTACATAATATTTGGGATTTTTCTGTACAACAAATTAGATGACTTCAAACACAAAGGCCAAAGCTTACTTTTACTGCTCTATCGACTGGACTAATATTTAAATGACAATACTTTGGTTTCTATCGACAGAAATGCTCGAAACCATGAATTCTTACCTACTGTAATATTTTAATCTTTGTATAAAAAAAAGACGCAGTGTCTCTTGATATATCCGAAAAGTACCTACCTACATACATACGAAACAATTAGAATTTTGCGCATATGCTAACAAATAATTTGTGGTGCAAATATGGGATATGCAGATACTTTGTTACTTGTTTTTTATTTTTAAACTTGCACTAACTGGATCAACAAATATCTGGTGCAAGGTGCAAGAAAGGGAATAAGTGACATTGTTACTTATCGAATTAATGTACCAGTCTATAGCCAGTCTATAGATAGGCATACAAATCCCACATTTGACGTAGCAAAAAGAGCATATTTTTCAAACTTTTACATGGTCGACAGTATTTGGAAAAGAGTCCGCGTTCGCAACCATTGTTGATGAATCTAGTGGTGTCCATCTGAGACAAGACCGGGTGTCGATTATGAGGCATTGAGAAGTCATTGACAGCCCATTTAAATTTAGATATTTCGCGTGCTGTCGCAGGGAGCAACGCCCTAGAGCTGACAGAGTTGGCACTCGGTGAACTATTTATCGTTTCTTGCATAATTCGGCTATTTTTAAGTCTATTATCTTCTCCTGACACACGTCTCGAGGCGAATCTACGGTTTCCCGAGGTGGCAACTGGCAACAATAACGGATTTACTTAAACTATGAAACATTTCTTTTGAGTTTCACCACAAAGCTATTCATTTTGCAAAAAAATATATATATATTTAGAATTTTTTGATAAAAATACATACAATTTTAAATATATCGTGGTAACTATCAAAAAATCATTGCTGTAAAATTGTTTATTTCCAACAAAAAATATCCACACATTTTTTTGTTACGACCGAATAGTAGTATTTTAAATTTAATCAATGATTAGTCTATTTTAAAATTTAAATGATAATAGTTTGGAAACTGCTTGTTTACGAATAACATTCTCTTCTACTACAATTAATTTAGCAGTTTTGATAACGAATAAGAAAAAATAATTAACGATATTGTAAGGAAACAACTACTCTGCTTACTAAAGCCTCGTACGGCATTGAATTATATCTGTGATGTCAAGTTAAGATCATTTGTCACCTGTCATTGCACTGGTATCAAACTTATTAGATTCTACTTTGTAAGTTACAGGCGAGTCATAGTTATTTAGATGCCTACCGATATGTTCTCAGTATGGGTAAGATATAACCTGCAAAATATAGCAATATATAGGGTGATTCAGTCATAATGTCATTAATTTTAAGGGAAGATAGGGAATAATGAGTAGAATACAAATACGTTATTAAAAAAAAATTAAAATGCAAAAAAATAATTTCAAATCATTATTTAAACCCCTTCTTGGGCCGCTCCTGACAGCTGACCTAGAAAGGTTTATCGAGAGTGAATCTTGACCTACTGTATTCTGTTACTGACCTAGCTTTTACCGTGTTTTTAATAGTGATTGACAAAAACAGCTTTTTACCAAGAAACATGATTGAATAAAATATTTTTTTTTACATTTTAAATATTCGTATTATTTATTTGTTAATAAATAGATAAGGATATTAATTGTTTTCGAATGTTGGGTTATTGCAATTTAGAGTTTATAATATTGTACGTTTTCTTCAGAACTTATCAAAAAAAATCTGGATGTACAGGGAACTCTTACAAATACAATTTTGTAAAGAAAAAATAAAAAATGGCACTTATTTTATATCAGCAAATTCAACTGCTTTTGCCGCTTTCGTTATTCTTAATTAATAAAATTAATTTGTGGTTTTAAATAATAAAATAATTTGGCATACCTGATCTTACAACTATTCAAAATTTTGTCTACCGACGTGTAAACACATTTGGATCTGTATTACTCAGTTTCTACGAACTGACACAAATGCTGTTTTGTTTCACCATAACACAAATAATGTTTCACCATAATACAAATGTTTTCTTGCTTCACAATAAATTCAAACAGTATCCCTCAACTCCGAGTTGCTATACACGCAAGCCATTTGTGACACTAACTACGAAAAAACTATTGTAAACACTATGACAGCGACGACTGTAAAATCGGATTTCAGTATTCGGAGTCGCTGGGGCCACGTGGCTCTCCATGCGTATTACGAATGACGCTAGAGACTACAAATTGTCCAGCTATGTAATGGTTGAAAGTACTACAACTTCAGTAATTTTTTTTTCTCGGAAACTATAAGGATTTTACAATTTTTTTAAGATATTGACTCCATTTCTCATGCCGCAACTATTCCCAAATTTTTTTGGATAAGTTGTGAATCACCCTATATTTATAATTGAATATGACTTTTTACTATTATGTTCAATTAATTATTCAGTTTGTAGTACGCATACCTGTGACTTGTTTTCAAAGAGTAGTATGGTACCTACCCGTTTAAAATGCTAGTACGGCTAAAACAACTCTCATCCGTCCATAGCACTTTTTTTAATAAAATGATGATCCACTCTACTTTGGTTTTGAAACCAAATACAAAATTTAAGACTGGGGAAATCAGCTGGTTCGCTTCAACGTTCGAACGCTCTGTAGTGCGCCGGCTTGTCAGCAAATGTTGGGCGCCGAAGTTAAGATAATTTGCTGATTTTTAAAAGGTTAAGTAACATTTTTTTTTCGATTTTCTGTCTATTAGAACTTCTGAATACTTTTAATTATTATGCATTGTGTATAATACACTTTGTAGGTTATATCTTACCTACACTGAAAAGAGAAAATCTAACCCTACGTCAACGACGTGTACTGTGAAAACTGTTTCTTTTTTGTGTTTTGTATCAGCATTCTCACAACTCTCCTGACGTTGAAGTTTGCTATTTTCTAAATATTTTTTCGAATTCCCTTAAAAAAAGTAATTGTGTTTACTCTAAATATACATTTAATTAAACAACTTAATTTCATATGGCGATTTTCAATTATTTCTCACGATTTCACTATCTTTCTTAAAAATTGCGTACAGTTTAAGACTTCCTCCATAAATTTTGAGCAATGCCCTGTTCCGCTTAATGATTTAAAAAAAAACGTTCAATAGGACTCAGCTCCGGACGCACCCGGGGCGCCAAAATCTAAATATCTCGCCGTACATTTTCGCGAATCTAGGACGGCTGTTTATAACGTAATCCACCTAGACTGTCGGTGTCCCGCGCATCGCGGCACTAGAAACATCTAGCCGGCTGAGCCGGCTAGCTTGGGCGCTGTGCGAACTTAGCCTAGGAGTTCGACGACCCCGTCGGCACGGCCAATGTTGCTGTTGGTGCCCGTTCGTGATGATGATAATGGGGACGGACTCTTCCACCGCACTCGTCTATTATTTTTGTCCGTTGCACCAAATACCTGCCCGCCATTGTTTTAATTTTACGACACACCGGACAGGCCAGGAACCAAAACAAAGCCGTGGTTCTGATAAATATAACTCGTACGGCGGCAGGTTCACGATTCGAGGGTTCAATAGACTCGGGCTTTTTTTTTAGTAGCGCGTGATCATAGCGAGCGGTTTGCCCAATTGTATCCGGGGGCTTGTTAGGATGCAATATTATTCTATTATTGCAGATGTGGGAAGGAGATTGGGGTTTACGTTAAGTTTGTATCTAATTTTATGTATTTTAGACTGCATTGTGTAAAATAACTGGCACTTTAGTCTTGAGGTAGGTACCAAGGTACAACATGCGCTCTTTTCTTTCTCCGTGGCCTAAAATAACTAAAAATAATCAACAATAAAAAGACACTTTAGTTCTGGGGTATGTACGAAGATATATGCTGTTTTTATCTCTCCCTGACCTAAAATAACTAAAAATGATCATGAACTAAAAGTATATTAGAGATGCAAGGAACTAAAATGCATTTTTTATTCTTGAAGTATTAAAAGGCACTTTAGTTAAGGGATATACGCTGCGTTTACTTTTAGTGACCTAAAGTAACTAAATATAATCATTAATTAAAAGTTTATTATATACCAACGGACTAAAGTGCATGTTTTAGTCACGAGAGATTAAAAGGCACTCTAGTTCTTAAGTACATACGATATTTTTGCAATCAGGGGCCTAAATTATGTATATTAATATACAAGAAACTAAAATGCCTGTATTAATCTTGGAGAAAGAAAAGCCACTTTAGTTTCGCATATATATTTAGTTCTGGGGTATATAATAAGACATATTAAATCTTTTTGCGCCTAAAATAACTAAATATAATCATTGATTAAAAATATATTATATACCAAACGACTAAAGTGTATCTTTTAGTCTCCAGGGATTAAAAGGCACTCTAGTTCTTAAGTACATACGATATTTTTACAATTAGGGACCTAAAATAATAATATTAATATACAGGAAACTAATGTGTTTGTTTTAATCTTGAAGAACGAAAAGTCACTTTAGTTTTGCATGTATATTTAGTTCTGTGGATATATTATCTCTTTTTTGTGCCTAAAATAACTAAAAATAATCATTAACTAAAAAATGAAGTGCCTCTTTTAATCCAGAGTAATTAAAAGGCACTTTAGTTAAGGATATACGCTGTGTTTGCTCTTAGTGGCCTAAAGTAACTAAATATAATCACTAATTCAAAGTTTATTATATACCAAGGGACTAAAGTGTATCTTTTAGTCACGAGAGATTAAAAGGCACTCTAGTTCTTAAGTACATACAATATTTTTGCATTCAGATGCCTAAAATAAGTATATTAATATGCAGGAAACTAAAGTGCTTGTCTGCTATCTTGGAAAAAGGATAGTCACTTTAGTTTCGCATATATATATTTAGTTCTGGGATATATAATAAGACATATTAGCTCTTTTTGTGCCTAAAATAACTTAAAAATAATCATTAACTAAAAAAATTAAGTGCCTCTTTTAATCCAAAGTAATTAAAAGGCACTTTAGTTAAGTGTTTGCTCTTAGTGGCCTAAAGTAACTAAATATAATCATTAATTCAAAGTTTATTATATATCAAGGAACTAAAGTGTATCTTTTAGTCTCCAGGGATTAAAAGGCACTCTAGTTCTTAAGTACATACGATATTTTTACAATTAAGGGCCTAAAATAAGAATATTAATATACAGGAAACTAAAGTGTTTGTTTTAATCTTGAAGAAAGAAAAGTCACTTTAGTTTTGTATATATATTTAGTTCTGTGGTATATAATAAGGCTTATTAGCTCTTTTTGTGCCTAAAATAACAAAAAATAATCATTAACTACAAATGAAGTGTCTCTTTTAATACACAGTGATTAAAAGACACTTTAGTTTTGAGGTATGTGTCGAGGTATATACCCTTTTTGCTCTCGGTTGCATAAAATTACTAAAAATAGTCGTTAACTAAAAGTATAGTAGGGATACGAGGAACTAAAGTGTATTTTTAAACTGGAGGGATATATACTTAGTGACCTTTATTAACAAATTATAATCATTAATTATAGTACGTACGTCATATACATATTGAGGGACTAAAATAATCCCAATGGCAAGTTTAGTTGTCCAAGACGTAGTCGATTACGTCATAAAAGACACTTTATAAAAATACGTTTTTGAGGAATTGCTCGTATTTGACCCCTCAAGACTAAAAACCACACTTTAGTTCCTTGGTACACAGAAAACTATTATTTAACTAAAAAATATATTAAAGTTTGTAATGTTTTCATTGCAATACCGTGTTTTTGTCTGAACTGAAGCCCATGAAAAGAATAGTCGATTAAAACAGTTTTCATGTCAATGTGTAGTACAACTACAACTTGACCTTCCTGGTCAGTCATTCGCAAAGCGCCCTTGCGTGCTCTCCGTGAAATCACAAAATTATGCACCACGTCGCATGTCCACTCCTACGTAAACATATATACTAGTAGTTCTGGAGCTAATACCATTATTGAGTTTGGTTGAGTTTCGCATTAATAACCTCTAAGAAACACTGTCTAAATTCCGCTTAAATTCGTCTATTTTATTATGTTAAAAATGGTCTAACAATGTTAATTTAATTGTTTTTTAATTTTTTTACAGTGCCAATAAGAGCAGAAGCTGCTGTCCCGAGAAAGACCGTCTTCTCAAGAATGGAAACGATGAAGGGCCCATTGGCCCTTCTGAGAACATGTAGAGACGAAAGGTTGCAAATTAAGGCAAGTAAATATAAATTAATGATTCTAAAACCAGTCTCGTTTATTTACTTCCGAACTAATTTGGAACTCCAAGTACAATGGTGATTATTTGATCAGTCACACGCTAATAAGTGGCCAAATGCAAAGTTATGTGATTCAATCGACACTAATTTCGCATATATCTCGTTTAGAACTGATATGGTTGGTTAAATTTGTATGAGTCAAGTTTATTTTGACTCTCTATGACGGTTTTGTCGTCTCAACTATGAAGGCTGCAGGCTTGGTTACACTGGCATCAATATATTGTTACAACGCGGTGAATAGTGTCATCAATGAGACATAGATGGTGACATCTAACGGTGCGGTGCTGGAAGAAGAGTAATAAAAATGGTAATCTTAGCGAATTTATAAATTAAATTGTTACAGCTGTAACGTATCTGTGACATAAATGAATGAAAACCAGTTATTAAACGGAGATAGGGGATAATGTAGTAGCGCATCAGAAATAATTTTTGAATGCCGATAGAAACAGCAGCGCCTGCCTCTAGGTAACAACCTAGCATTGCTAGACACGCGTTTTGACAAATTATGACATTTTTAATATCATTTTTCATTTTAAAATGAACATTTCAATAATTTCATAGTAGTATGCTACTTATACATGTAAGTAAATCGTGATCACAGTTTGTAGATAATCTTAAATACGTAAAAGTTCTTTGCAAAAAGAAGGATTTTGCGTGAATGCTGTTGAAATACGCAGAAAATATATTTCTCGGCGCCCAACACGCCTAACACAAGACAGATTCTTTTTAAGATACATCAATCAAAAATGTATTTCTCAGCCTGTTGGAATCAACACATTGGCGAAGGTACCCTCAATAGTTGCTTCATTCCTGAATATAGCAAATCCAGAAGCATATACTGGCCATTGTATTGGCCAATAAAGGTGCTGATCTTACAACCATCAAACGGCATGGTGGATGGAAGAGCTCCTCTGTAGCAGAAAGTTATGTTGAGGAGTTTATATCTAACAAACTTGATATTGCAAGGAAAATCCAAGGAAAATATAGCTGTTCCTTAGAAGAAGAGACATCCGTAACTTGTGCAAGTTTTTCACAAACTTCGGCAGATGTTATGCGTTCCGAAAATGATGGCAGCAATGCTACAAGGGTTGTTATTAACGGAAAGGAAGTTAAATGTGATAAAACAAAATTATATTACTATAAATGTAAATGTTAATGTTAATGAGTAAATAAATTAAATTTGATTTTTTAGAGGTTTATTATTTTTTCATTATTCTACTAGTGAAATAAGGTTATTTTCTTCCACTAGTGGATAAGTATAACTTTAGACGGTTCATACGTGTGGATAAAAGTCTGATTATAAGGTGATTGCGGATAAATATTATGCCATTCGGATAATTCGTATTATTTGGGGAAAAGCCCCATTCACATCGCGTTATCCGAATGGCAGTCACTTGTTACAGTTGCCTTCGTCCGAATATCAAGTTCCGCTGGCGTAGGGCGGTTATAGGCGCGGCAAGCGAAAAGTAGTCTAAGGCCGTCACGTAGGTACCCAAATTCGGCCCTGTGGGCATCTAATGAATAAGAAATCAGTCGCCTCCTGCGCCGATACGAATCGCCGGTCCCAGCGCGCGTTATATAACCCACTTATTGGCGAATTTAAACAAAATATTACACAACGCAACCACGCGTTCGAACGAAACTAGTGCCAGGGTCAATGTTTGTAGGTGAATGCCGATTTTTTTTTAGGTAACTGGGTGAATATTAAAGAAAGCACAAACTTGACCCGATAATATTTCTGTGTAGAGGTCGGAACGAGAATTTATCATTGCGGTACACGATATTTCTTAACTAATGTTAATCTAGGCGATACCCACATCTCCGATACGTTTCATGCAAATTTATACGAAATGTTCCGTGGTATAATGGGTGCTTTTGTTCTCTTTGGTTGCGTTTGTCACCGGTTGAATTACAATCACATTTGTGCAGTACAATGTGTCCCAATAACGACCAGGACACCTCTCTATTTTTTTTTCTAATCAGTTTATTACAGTCTGTTTTGTACTTAGAGCATATACTACTGGAGAGGACTGGGTGTCTTGGCCGGTGGATTTCGATCTGCCGAGGTAAGCACCACGGACACAGGCTGGAATTTGGATGGGTGACCTAAGGCAGGCTCGGGGACGTGGCTGTGGCAGCATCACGGACTCAAGCTGGAATTTGGATGGGTGACCTAAGGCAGGCTCGGGGACGTGGCTGTGGCAGCCTACCAGAGACCTGGGTCGCGCAACATTTGCCGCACGCGTGTGGTCCCCGATAAATGGTAATGAGAACAGAGCAAATAAAATCTCTGTAACTCAAGACCATGCTATCATATATAAACTGTACGAGATTTTGCCACCAAGCCACCCGTGTAGTAAATGGGATGGTTTGAAGAAAAGTACTCGAGTAATGAAGGAGGGGGCCTAATAAGGCCTAAGTGCCGCGGTGGAAAAACAATTCCCTGCGACATATATACATACATATACCACTGGAGGCAGTATCTATGCTATCGCGTGCTGCTAGAGAGAGATAGTATATACCCTCCTATTCTCTCTCTAAACCTCCGCCACACATTCGGCAATCGCGTGCTCCTCCCTCTCTCTCTATATATATACCTCCGCTACACTCTCGGCCACTAAGAGGCTGCTTCCAGTAGTATATACAAGGTTTTGTATGTCTTTGCAAAAAGAAATTTTTGAGAAAAAATGAGAAGACTTTCAGCCTCTGACTTTAGTTTACGGTGCTCGCTTTCTAAATCATATCAAATAGAAGACGCTGGAGAAACAATTTTGCATAGCGATATGCGACAGGCAAATCGGTTTGTTTGTAACTGCTGTCCAACTTCTAACAAAATGAATGATTTTAATGAATTAGTTGATATACTGCAGGTTTATAATTAATGTAGAAAAAACTATAGCGACTTTACATTTATATCGACAAAGTTATCCTAATACAATTTTTCCTTTCCGTGAAGAAAGTTTAGTAAACTAGAAGCAAATCTAAGACAGTTAAGGTATAGGAAAAATATATATGTAACAATATTAATAAACAAAAAATTGTGCGATGCAATATTAAATGCAAACAAGCAGTGAAATTTAAAAGTACTGTTCAAAGTTCAAACTGTTGTCCACTTCTTTGGATACATTCGCATCTTCGAATTATATTTGTACACTGTGCCGCGGAACCTCCTCCTGTCCTGGCTGAGACCCGCCAGCTGAGACCCATCGCCGCCGGCTAAGACATGTTCTCCTGGCGATCACGCTTTTCTGGAGCATCTAACGGGCCCCTATCAACTGTGGTCGAGATTACAGAAGCAATATGTAACTGGTGTCATCTTCATGACGCCATTCAAATTACTCTAAATTAATATACATTTAAACTCGCTCAATAATGAGGACATTTACTTTGATTTAGGTACAAGTGCGTCAAATTACGTGAAGAATTTATTTTAAGAAGTACATATATTTGAGTGAAAGTACACTCAGTTTTGGTTTAAATATAATCAGAAATGAGTAAAATGATCAAAATGTCCAATAATTTCACTCAATGGGTTCACTTTGAACCTTTATTGCTTTGATTTGAAGTGGCTTCAGCTGATTTGACTTGTCAAATGGCTATTTATTCGGTATTACTGTGGCTTTCATAGTGCTCATATTATTGTGGTTTATTGTTTAGATCAGTCTTGTAAGTGTTCAAAATGGCCCGTGTTTTTAGTAAAGAGGATGGAAGGGTTGGGTGAAACAAAGATTGCGATTTATGTTATCGCGATTGGGTGACTTAAGTGGAGTGATTGAATAAACTAAACTTGCACACAAACTTAAATGTATATACAACTGAGTTGTTCGAGAGCAAAATTTAAACTTTCAGCAGTACGAAAATATTGGTGTTGGTGGCTGTTATGTCATAGTACATTATTAAGTAAAAGCAATGTGAACGTGAATAACGAAGCACTCAACCAAATTCGCTAAGAGTCTTATTAAATTTATCGTTTTCCTTAATTAGATTTATTGGACGTCGCAAAACTTAAGCGCCAATAAAGAGTGTAGCGCCTATTCGATAATTGCCGCATTTACTTTTTGTCGGGTAGAAAAACCATTGTTATATAACTCGCTTTAATGTTCGAACAACCCCGATTACCATACCGGCCAGATGGCCGATTTGCATCACACCGAACGGGCATCCTCATAAACGCATCCTCTGTTCCTCGCCGATGACTTTCTCCGCAAAAGCGAATGCGTCAAGACGCGAATGTCCGAACGTTCCCTTCCATTGATTGCAACATTCGCACTCGGAGACATTTAAGGTGTATGACGTTCTGTTGGCGGTAACGTCGTCGTAAATCCGAATGGATTTAATTGGAATTATTCATGAGGTGTTAACACCTTTTCTTTCCGAGATTAGTACCTCGAAAACGCGCAACTCGAAAGGCTTCAGTCGGAGTTCCATAAAAAGATCGATTTGTACAGACTTTAACAAATAAATTGTTACATTTTAATATGTCGCTTACAGCTTGACTTTGTCCGAACAATTTTTCCTCAAAATGTCGCAGTTCGGAAATATTTATTTTCGGATACTTGAAAATTTCCACTATTTGGGGATTTTCCCGAGTTATTTCGTTATCCTCCTCTTCAAATAGTCTCCAGAGAGCCACGCTAAATTACTAGATAATTACATATAACACTTATTTTAATAACTTTACCCTTTACTGGTTACGATATGAACAAATAATAATATCAACTAATAAATAATAATACGTATTATACCAACAACATACCCCGCCAAGCAATGCTCTGCACTGCACTGGCAAAGGGGCAAAGCTAAGTGAACCCGTGTATCATACAAAAAAAAAATATTTACGACCTAGTGGACCAATACAGGTTTGCTTTGATGACCAGCGCGCCGCCGTCAGTTCTACATCAGGCGGACTAGTTTACCAATACCGGACTTGCCGAATTGCTATTTGAGTATAAATTACGGGACACATCATGGTCAAAGCATAAGAAGAAATTGCGGGAGAAGTGCATACAGTCCTGTGCTTTAAGATTTACAGGTTCCAATTGACATCGTAACAACTATACTATAGGGTTGCTTATTATTTGGCGTATGTGACGACACTATCAAACTGCTCAGATATAAGAAAAGATACAATTTCTTTGTGTCCTCCCGAGTCAGTTTCTGTAATTTCATAATTTAAAATGGAATCACCTGGTCCACATGAGCGCATTTTTCGGAGGGCGTGAAAATTACGAATTGAAGAACGCCGCAATTAAGGGTCTTCCGCTGGTAGCGACAATTTCGTCGTCGGGCAGCGTACCAAGCGCACGAAATTAATCACCGACTGAAATTAACCATGGCGTTGACCATGGGCGGTAGCCGACGAGCTATGTCGCGGTCGATTCCCCCCTCGTGGACGACGGCCAGCACCGCGCTGGTCCGCCGTTTCGCTCGCTAGCAAGAAATCTACTAACCTTCTGCCACGGTTTTCCTTGTTGAGAAATAGTATTTAATTATTTATACGAGAGAGGCCATCGGAGATTTTTATTGACACCGGTTGCCATTGACGCCGCTGTATTTGGTCAGAGAGGTAGGTCCGACGGAGCGTATGTTGATCGTAGAATGTACAGGGCGTAACATAGACAATTCAATATGGGAAGGCGTTTAATGAACCTATATTTTGATATTGAGGTAATTCGAATGAATTATGTCCTTCAGAATGCAGAAATCTTGACTACGGTGCCGAATTGACGTTCCTGCACTCTCAGCAACACTCTCTTCTCACGAACTGCTTCTATGCTTTGTGTTGAGCGACTTGATGAAGGACCATCAGAGATCACTAATTGATTCAGTCTCCCTGTAACCCCTTCACAGTTGATGAAGATAAATCACCATTCCGACCATATTTTGTACGAAAATTGCGAACTGTAGCTGCCAAACTTTCATTATTTTTAAAATATTGCTCAATAATGAATACGCGTTGTTCGTTCGTCTAGCGTTCCATTTTTAATAACCCTGAATTGTCAGCTGTTACACTGTCTTTTGTTTTTCGTTGGATACACTTTACCGCACAAATGGCGCCAAATTCAAATCTTACGTGAATTTTGGGACACCCGTATGTATGTATGTATGTATGTCGGAGGGTGGTGGAATTGTTTTTCCACCACTTAGGCCTTATTAGGCCCCTTGTACACCCTTCATTACTCGAGTACTTTTCTTCAAACCATCCTATTTACTACACGGGTGGCTTGGTGGCAAAGTCTCGTACAGTTTATGTATGATAGCATGGTCTTGAGTTACAGAGATTTTCTTTGCTCTGTTCTCATTACCATTTTATCGCGGACCAAACGCATGCGGCAAATGTTGGGCGATCCAGGTCTCTGGTAGGCTGCCACAGCCACGTCCCCGAGCCTGCTTTAGGTCACCCATCCAAATTCCAGCTTGCGTCCGTGATGCTTGCCTCGGCAGATCGAAATCCGCCGGCCAAGACACGCGGTTAGGCGGTCCCATACACCCGATATAATTTATCTAGACTCAATTTCACGTTGATCTTTGTCCAAAGGGATCTTAAAATATACATGGCGTTCCATAGATAAAATATATATAAAAGGAGGTGTAGTAGTTTATGCGTTAATTTAAAGCCAACTTAAATTCGTGTTGGTCTTTGTCCAAAGGGATGTTAGCTATTAGAAATAAGAACATAACGTAACTTATTTTAACGTTTGATACATTAGATAATAACTTCAGTAATCCATGTATATTTAATTAGTACTATTTGTATGTACATAATATTATTTTTGATAACTATTATTAATCTGGTCCATTGAGACAGTCATATATACTGCGTCTTGAATTAAAGTGCCAATAAATTAAAAATTTTGTCACCGTATTGATATTGTCTTCTCTTTCAAGGAAATCCATTGATTGTACTTTGTACATAGGTCATAGATCACTAAAAATGATGATCAAAACAGTATCACCACCGTTATTAGTCAAAAGACATTTCAGTTAATTACCTTTCGTGAACCGCTGGCACACTTTTTGGGAACCACTGTGTACGGACCATGCTTGAATGAACCTCGTCAGAGCACATTCGAGATACACAGGAAGTGCGTTGGTGTCTTACGTTCCCTCCTGCGAATTCCCAGTTTTTATGAGTAAAACAACGCTTACGTGGATATTTTTCCTTTTAGTGCAACTTCCTAATTTTCCGTTCGATTGACATTGTTGATCGCCGACAAATAAGCAATTTAATCCGTACAAAAGTGGCGGGTAAAATCCTTGCCTTGGCAAGGCATACCTTGATGACCGCCGTGTTTGTTAGGCGTAGTAACCTTGCCGCTCGGCCTCGCAGGAACCTCGCGCCAAGGCCCGCGAAAGTATTGTCTTTGCCTTTGCCGAGATAATACTACCGCAATGACTACAATGCGGGCGCGGGCACGAAAAAAAATCTGACGGGAAACGCGGATGTTTCGCGAAAACCGCACGGGGAAAGGGTACATCGTAGCCTCAAATTTCAATTTTGAACTATTCAAAAGATGAGTAAAATTTGAACAGAATTAATAACTGTTACCGGGCAATCAAACCTGTGATTGTCAAAAATAACAAAATTCTAGCAACAGCAGAATTTTTGCTAGAGTAAGAATCTAAGCAAGCATAAAAGCACTTTTTTATTTATTTTTTTCACGTAAATTTTCTCCATAACGTAATCGTAAACAGTTACTTTTTTTACAGGTATTTACCAGAAATCAAAAAGGAATCCGTGGTTACTGCATAGGTTACTTGGCAGCATTTGACAAGCACTGGAATCTGGCCTTAGAAGAAGTGTTCGAATTCTGGACGCGACCAAAGAAACGGAAAGTTCCCGCACTTGGTAAGATATAAGACACGAGTTACAGTGCCGCTTTAGCTCGAGTTACACTAGTAACGTCACTATTTGATAGCCATTTCATCGTAGATTATTGATTAGAGAACATTTTTACACTTGAGCTACAATTTTCAATTAGAGCTACACCTTTTCACTTTGAGATTAATTTCACACGACATTGTGTCGCTCTTGAGTTACAATTTCATTGTTCACTAGAGCTTGGTACAGCTATTGAGCTATATTTTAACTTATACACTTGCTAAAATTAAATTTTTCATTAGAGCTACGTTTTTTCCCTTTACTGTAATTTTACACATTTTATCGCTTTTGAGCTACATTTTACCTTTTACACTTGAGCTACAATTTTTCATTAGAGCTACCATTTTTCACTTTGAGGCAAAAGTTAATTTTACACGACATTCTGTCGCTATTGAGCTACCACACTTGAGTTACAATTTCATTATTCACTAGAGCTACACTTTTTCAGTTTGAGGTTATTTTACGCAACATGGTATAGGTATTGAGCTATATTTTATAGTTTACACTCGAGCTAAAGTTTAATTTTTCACTAAAGCTACACTTTTTCACTTTACTGTAACAGACATTGTGTCACTCTTGAGCAACATTTACCTTTTACACTTGAGCTACAATTTTTCATTAGAGCTACACTTTTTCGCTTTGCGGTAATAATTAATTATACATGACACTGTCACTGTTGAGGTACACACTTGAGTTACAATTTAATTTTTCACTAGAGCTACAGTTTTTCAGTGTGAGCTTTAACAAAACATGGTATAGCTTTTGAACTATATTTTACCCTTCACACTTGAACCACAATTTAATTTTTTACTAGAGCTACATGTATGTATGTAATTTTACGCGATGTCGTGCTGCTCTTGAGCTACATTTTACTTTTTATACTTGATCTACAAGTTAATTTTTTCACTACAGCTACATTTTTTCATTTTAATACTTGAGCTACAATTTAATTTTTCACTAAAGCTACATTTTTTCATTTTGATGTATGTAATTTTACGCGATGTCGTGCTGCTCTTGAGCTACACTTTACCTTTTAACTTAAGCTACAGTTTAATTTTTCACTAGAGCTACATTTTTTCATTTTAATGCAATTTTACTCACGTAAATACGAGCTTTTGAGCTACATTTTGCCTTTTGCACTTGAGCTACAATTTCATATTTTAATAGAGCTACGCTTTTTCACTACAAGGTAATTTTTGGGACATTGTGTTGCTCTCGAGCTACATTTTACCTGTTACACTTGAACTACTGTTGGATTTTCACTAGAGCTACAATTTTTAGATAGTGCAGAAATGATGGAGGAACCCCGAAAACGTGTCAGACCACCTAGAATTAAAATAACCCCTCACGAGACAGACAAAAAGCTAGAAAACTGCACGAGAAATGTTGGGCAGTTCTTGATGAAGGGTGAACACGTAGCTCTTATAAGTGTGGTTAGAGATTCGAGCAACAAGGGATAAGGTCGGTCTAAAGCGTCTAAATTATGGCAATAGGGAGACGATTTCAAAACTAAAAGAGAAGCCTATACGAAAAGGTTACAGAAATTAAGGCAGAACCAAGAAGAGAATGAATTTATTAAATTAATTTGTAGGAATAAACGAATTTTAGAACAACCGAGTTTCTCTTCATTACCCTGCCTTTAAGATAGTCAAAAACTCGCGTAGCATTGATTCTGGACATAGCATTGAACGCACTTAGACTTTTACTAAATTAAAATCTAACAAAGTAACTATTTTTTGTTACATTAATAATTAATGCTGCGATATAACAGAATAATAAACACCGGCCTTCGACCGTAGCCTTGCAGGGCCCATATAATAAAAAATGTTATATTAAAAACATGTTGGTTGAGGAGTATATGCATATGGAATAATAATTTGGTCTTTGTGGAGACTGAGGCATGCGAGGTATTTGCAAAATTCGCCTTGTATTACGCGACCTGCGCTAATTAATATTAATATATAAAAAAATTGCTGATTCGCTAAATTTTAATTGAGCAAAACGATGGCGCTGCGTGTAGAATTTGCATTATTTATGTTAATGGATTTTCCATATTTATCCAGACTTGAGTGGAATTTCAATTGTTCCAAAATCCATCAAAAACGTTCGTCATTTTTTGTGGAGACATTCTGTCGACAAATTCATTAGTTGGAACAATTGGAGTGGTCGAGTACCATCCACAAATGCTGAAAGAAAAGGGAACCAACAGGTTGGCCACCTCGGTCACCCGAATTCAATCCATTGGATTGGGAAGGTCTGAAAGGTAAGTTTCATTGTGCCAGTTCGTCGCTTAAGAGAATTGGGAAATTTTCAAACGTAAACTAAGCCCTCAAAAAAAAAATTAAGAAAAAAAAAATTAAGAGTTTTTATCTGAAAAGCAATATCCTTAAAACACAGGACTATGTAGGAATAATTTTGAAAAGCAATGAGTACTACGACACCCCCTTTCCTCCACTTGTGCTTCAATTTTTTTGGAGAAAATTTAGCAAAGTATGTGTCTGCATAAGTTAAAAGTCTGTGCAAAATTTCAACGTAATATCTTAAACAACAAAGTTATTAATAAAAATCCTTCTTTAAGTGCAATTTGAACATTCCACCTCTCGGAAAAAAATTGGTTCCATTATTTTCACCCAAAGAATATGCGGTTTGGCCTACTTTCTTATAACATCCAGTATAAATTTATGTCCAATTTAATTCAAAATGCCACACAAAAATTATTAATTATTTTAGCTGTTTCCACATAGCAACACATGCATTCCATTCAAAATTGCCGCTACCACAAAATATGTTCTGTTAAAATTAAGTTAAATGATAAGAAGATCCGTGCAGATTTAGTTAGTTTTGCGATTTAATTAATTAAATCATAAAACTGACTTCGAAGTCCTTGCATTCGCGCATATAACACTCTGTATCTCAAAAACTAAGCCCTCACAGAAAAGATTATAGAGAAGAATACACTCAATTATTAAATAAGAAATTCTTTACTGCAATTTAAACTGAAATCACCCTGTATAAAAATAACGATACAATTTACTCAAAATCATTAGACGAGAAAAAATGTTTAGTACCATAAGTTTACAGTATGTCATGGTAGTCAAGATGGATAATAAAATACATATTTTTTATTCCAGAGGTATGTAGAAGGTCGAAAACGAATCATCTGAATTTTTATAGAAGCCTACCGTGTCTGTACAAAAGTAAAAACAAATATATTGAAAATAATTTACGTTTTGCTTCAACAATGCATGTTTATTGAAATGTCGACGAGAAAACGACTAAGATCATTTGTCAGCAGAATTACCAGACATATACCGGTTCGAACTTATTAGTTCTCATGGGTATGTCGTAGGTGAGGCTGCGGAGAAGTTGTTTCCCAAAATATAATAATAAATAAGTAGGTCACTCTCTGCTAGTAAATACAAAGCAATACCTACTTTGTGCAATGACATTTAAGATACGACATGCACTTTGTAGGTTATATCTCACCTACAATGCATACTTATGCTGTAGATTCCGACATACAGGGTGTTTATTATTATTTTTTTAATTAAATTAAAAACGCCCTTTCAGTTTTGATTCATGTCTTCAAAAATATCGAGACGTCCGCCCAAACTCGCATTGCGAGACCGTTAACCAAGGCCGCCTGCGAAATTGGCACAACACAGCGCGCTAGACTGACGTTCCTAGACCTTCGAATTTATTACTCATTATTTGAGGTTTTTCAGCTTTAATTTATAGTAAACATGTGTGCGCGGATAAGTGCTGAGCTTAGAACCGACTATAAACCGACGCTGGTGCTGCTTTATTTTATTCCCGGCTGTGACAAGGATACCGAATGGTTTTTCTGACGTTGGAGGATAGTTTCATTGTCATCTCCGTGAGCGTTCGTAGTACAAGTGCCGCAAGGTTAGGCTCGAAGGCCTTTAATCTATCGACAATCGTTCGATATTGAATTAATTAATCTGTCGTGTAAAAAGCATGGGATTTGAATTCTAGGAAGTCATTCGATTAAAGCAACAGCCGCAGATAATTAATTAATATTAGAAATTACGATTAGCCTCTTCGGTTTGTTTTTTATCTCATTGTCTATGTGCGAACAAATAAATCTTGCGAGAAATTATTTTCATTAGGCGTTTTTAGTTTCGAATTTCAATTTTCCTTTTCCTGCTTTTTCCCTACAACTTTTCTCATCACACTTATACGAAGTCTGTTCAGAAAATAACCGAACTTTATTTTTTAAACTTTATTATTGATTTTATACATTATTAACTTCGGTAATAAGAAAAAATCACAAGGAGCCACCTACTTAAACATTGCACTCAAATAACAATATCACGAAAACTAAATGAAATATCAACAATCCAAGAACATGTGGTTACAGAAGAGGTTATGCGAAACGCAATGCTGCCAACCACATATTACTAAATAACTCCGTTAGCGCGGGATTCAAAAAGTTCGATTACTTTCTGAACAGCCCCCGTAGTGCACTGAGCAATAAAAAAACATAACCTTTCGCACCACACCAAGAGTCACCCGTTGTCGCCAATCCGTAAACATTTCTGTCCCGTTTTATAATCTGGGATTTAAAATAATACTGCAAGTAAGTAGAATTTAAGCCTTACATTATCAAGTGTGCCAAGGAAGCCAGTAACTGCACGTAATATAATCCGGCGCCGTCAGATGCTTCAACGACACAGTCGTTTAAAAAAAAAAAATGGATTTCTAATCGTAATCTGAAATCATTTCTATAAATAATAGTGAAAATATATCAACTTCTCTTTACTTATCTTTTTATTAGGGAATTATGTTATCTTTAGCAGTGTTATTGTTTCATTCACGTTTAATTTATGTTTGATTAAGAATATAGTTTAAAAAAAATATTGGTGTAAACAATTATGTGTGTATTACACTCGAAGATATCAAAGTGAAATAGTCGGACTTTTAATCAGCAAAACTCATAAATGAAAATTCAATAACTTGTTTAAGTTGCTACGTTTTATATGTTGTACTTTACGCCATAATGCGTAAAATGTGCTTTACGCACGAATGTGTACAGCTGAATTTAAATGCCTTTCCAAACAAATTACTTTATGCAGGGAAAACTAAGCACTTTACACCAAATGCGTAAAGTACGGTACATTACGCATGAATTAGTACAAATTATTTTAAGTGTCTTCTCACTAAGTGAACTACTTTACACACTAACTTTACCTTATACGCGAATGTGTACAACTAATTAGCTTTTTCTGGCAAACGAAGTACTTTACGCAGGGAAAACCAAATATGTTACACCATAATGCGTAAAATATAGTACTTTACGCTGGAATGTGTACAACTAATTTTCCAAACAAATTACTTTACGCTAGGTAAACCAAGTACACCAAATGCGTAAAATATAGTACTTTACGCATAAATGCGTACCAATCATTTTAAGTGCCTTTTCTCACTAAGTGACGCCAAGTGAAACACTTTATGCATGAATGTGTACAACTGATTTTTTCTACCTTTCCAAACAAATTCCTTTACGCAGGGAAAACCAAATACTTTACGCCATAACGCGTAAAATATAGTACTTTACGCACGAATGTGTATAACTGATTTTAAGTACCATCCCAAATAAATTACTTTACGCATACCTTTTCCTAATAACGCGCTAGCTTTACGCACAAAAATGTACAATTGGTTTTAATTACCTTCTCCCGCTAATTGAACTACTTTACGCGCGAACGATTTTAATTACCGATTTTCTCACTAATGCGCATAAAATTAAGAACATCGCCGGGTTCCAAAAACTTATGAGTGGAATTCTTTCGTGACGGGCAATAAAACTATTCCGGACTGTGTACCCGAGTGCACTATTAGCCATTGAGCCTTCGCGTCTAAAAATACGAATAATATAACACCAGTAGCCGATCGGAGAGCGCAGAATTCGCAAACAATGAAAATAGAACCGCGCGAGATATAAATTGTGTTTGGTCAATAATAAATTATAATTTTACAAGTAGTTTTCCAGGCAACCGAGTAAACAAAGTCGTGAAACTGTCGGCCGCCCGAAGACTGAAAAAAAATTCTCATTGCCGAATATAACTATTAAAGCGTTTATTTTGGAGGTAAGACATTTGTTGCTTTGCAAAACAAGGCAACACCGAGAAAACAGTTCGTATGCGAATAAGCGAATTGTCTCCACGGATGGATATCGAATATGTAGATAACTGATGAGGGTCATATACTCTGAAACACAGGTTTTAAGTGGATATAATTTGTTGAGGTGATGCTATACGTACTATCGAAATGAGTAATGACTTTTTGTCGTAATATTAATAATTTTCTAATATTTGTATCACGTAGTAACAACTCATTCATCTAATTATGATATTTCGTTTTAATGAGACATTACATAGGTTGTATTTATCAAATCTACTCTTATCTTTACACTGTGTTGATTTAATTTTGGTAATCTGTACATACTAAGCAACTTAATATCTTTTAATGAAAAATATTTGTATACGACTTTTTTTAATCCGACAAAATTTAATACATTTAAAGTTATCAATTTATTTTAAACAAATTTTGATACCCCAGTTACGATTGACAAAAGCCAT